ATAGCAAATAAATTCTCTAATAAAATTTTATTACTAAAAAAGGAAAGGGTCTAGGTTAATTTGCCTGAACCCGGGGGGGTTCATAATTTTCATCCTGAACTGGGGGTTCAGGATAAGGACGCTCTTTATTAAATAAAAAAAGAGACTGATCCAATATTAGTCTAGTTACTGTTACACATGACCTCTTCATTAAAAATGCAGTATAAAAACTCCCCTTTGCAATAAAATTTAAATTATTATTCCGTATATTCTGAGAAAGAAAAATGAGCTGGTATTTTTTATTATTATTCTTCTTCTTATTTGTTACTATCACTACTAAATTTTTGATTAAGAAAAGAAAAAAAATTCTAAAATTTTAATATTATAATTATAAATTATATTATAATAATAATAATAATAATAATAATAATAATAATAATAATAATAATAATAATAATAATAATAATAATAATTAATATTAGTTTATTACTGTTATTATTTGTAGGAAAGGCACAACTAAAGCATTTGGGAGATTACCTCAACGAGTTTTAACAAAGACCAGAATTCGTTCAGGTTTTGATTTAAAAATTAAAATTATTAAAATCCTATTTTATCAATTTATTTATTTTAGATTACAACAATATTTTAAATAACCTTTTTATTTAACTTAAAAAAAAGCAACGAAGGATTACCAATTTGATGATATATATAGTCAATTCAATGAATTAACGAAAAAAACCGAAAAATTCCATATTGATGCTGTTAAATTTCGAGATAATTTAACTGGTATATCTGTTATTGTATTATTATTATTATTATTATTATTATTATTAAATCAAAGAATATCAAATAATCAAAATTTCTCTCCTTTTTATTATTAAGAATCATTAAATCATCAAGTAAATATTGCCGAGATCTTGATTACTTTATATGATCCAATTAAAGGTAGTGAAGAAGGAGCAGTTACACGTCGACAGAAAACTCCTGTTAAATCAATGAAAGCAGTTGAGGAATATGAAGCGGCAGTAATTGAAGTTAGAGAATTGATATTACCGGAATTGGTGAATAATAATAATTATTATATTTTTTTATGTTGTCAATAATTAGATGTAAATAAATATAATATAATTTAACTTCTTTTAAATAATTTAGGATACGCTTGATGTTACAGTTATTAGTCCAGCTAAAGAATTTTTGAATATTATAAAGATGATTAAAAAAACAATAAGTAAACGTGATCATAAAAAAACGGATTATGATCGATTTCAAACTAATTTGAAAAAACTACAAGATAAAAAGGAAAAATCATCGAGTGAAGAAAAGCAAATGTTTAAGGTAAATTTTCTGATTATAATTATATATAATAATGTATATAATAATCGTTGAAGTATTATTAAAGTGTTTATTTTATTTTATTTTACATATATCTCTCTCTATTTATTTATTTATTTTTTTTTTTTTGATAGTTAGAAGAACAATTTTCTCGAGCCACACAAGAATATGATCATTACAATAATTTGCTTAAGGAAGAACTTCCACTTTTTTTCGAATATAGAAGTGAATTTATTGAACCTGTATTTGAAAACTTTTATACTATACAATTAAATGTTTTTACAATTTTATTTGAACGACTTGAACTATTAGTTGATAATACTGGAGAATATTTTGATATTGAAACAGATATAATAGAAGGATATGAAAGAAAAAGAGAAGAAATTGATCCTAAAATAGAATTATTGACTGTGATTAAAAAAGTTGGAAAGAATACTTCAAGTAACACACCCAAGAGTAGTAGTAGTAGCAAACTTAATGTTCCTCCTTCACATGATTCAATGCGTTCCCGATCACCTAATTATCTCAACTCAAATAATGCTGCTTCTTATAGTTCACGTTCACCAAATAATTGTTCACCACGTTCTCGTTCTCGTTCTCGTTCTCGTTCACCGCTTCCTATGGGGAATAATTCATTCAGAGTAAAAAAAGGATATGATTATGAAGAAGAAGAACGAGAAGAAGAATGTGAAGAATATGAAGAAGAAGAACGTGAAGAAGAATATGAAGAATCACCACCAGCGTATACACCAATTCCAATGCCTTCGCCACCTATGTTAAAGCCAAAACCAAATGTGAATACACCAATAATAAAGCCAAAACCAAATATGAATACGCCAATAATAATGCCAAAACCAAATTTAAATACACCAGTAATTAAACCAAAACCAAATATCAATAATAATAATAATAATAATAATATACAAAAATCTCGACCACTAGCACCTCCACCTCCAGTTCCATTTACAGCTCCTAAACCTAAACCTAAAATCGTACGTAATTATGTAATTGCATTATATGATTATGATGCGCAGGCAGATGGTGATTTATCGTTTAAAAAAGATGATAAGATAGAAGTAATCGAACGAACTCAAAATATTAATGATTGGTGGAAAGGAAGACTAAATGGAACAATTGGTGTATTTCCTGGTAATTATTATATTTTCATTTTTCTCTGTTTTTTTATTCTATCTTTATTTTATATTTATATTTATATCTATCTATATATTTATATTTATTTATTTTTAATATATTTTTCATTAGGAAATTATGTTCGCGAACTATAATTATAATTAAAAAAAAAAAAGTTTTTATTTATTTTCTAAATATTTTGATAGCTATTGATTATTTATTATTATTATTTCTTATTATCTCTTATTATGACATTCCTATTATTGTTATTATCATTATTATTATTATTATTATTATTATTATTATTATTGTTGTTGTTGTTAGTTGTAAATTTTATTTTTTATTATAGCTTCTATAAAATGTACTATTTCTAAAACTGGATTAATAAAATAGGAGTCAAAATATTATATATACAAATTATTCATTATTATTTATCTAAGTTAAAATAGAGTTAAAATAATTATTATAATGATTTACTACTACTATAATGATAACTAATGATTACTAAAGATTAATTATTCTAATTATTACTAAAAATAGGGAGAAATAAACTTCATTATTATTATTTATACATTACAGTATAAAACTCATTATTATATAATTATATAGTTATTTATTATAAGTTATCATCATCATCATTTATTATTAATGACTATTATTATTTATTTATTTATTTATTTATTTATTATTATCCACCCACTTCTATTTCTTCCATTGGTACCATTTCATATCTATCTCTATCAACATCTGCACTGGTTTTCGTTTTACCCAAATTATTAATATTTAAATTACTACTTCCTTCTCCACCACCAATTCCTAAGTTAACACCAACCCCATCTTCATTTAATAAAATTGGTTCCATCTCTTTTTTCATACAATAAAGTTCACCACCAAAAATCATTATACAACAGGTGGTCACATTTAATGCCCACCAAATAAATGTCGTGGGCACGTGACCAGAATAATAACTTGTTATCAGGAGATGGAAGAAATGAAGGGTCAAACTAAAATCAAGAACAAGTCTCGCTCGTTGGATAAGTCGGACCAAAAGATAAATTCTAAAAAATATTTAAATAATTATAATTATAATAATAATAATAGTAATAATAATTCTTTTTATTAGGATATTAATAATAATAAAAATTAATTTACCCTACTACCGAATTCGAGATCCAGGCAAAACCTATTGTCCAACCTAATACTGTATCCGCTCTAAATTCTCGATAATCTAAAAGATGATCTAACGTTATATCATTACCGGTTATTAAGAGTGTAAAGAGTGTAATAATTGAAATTGAGAGATAATATAATGTTTGTAAAGCAACGATCTAGAATATATATTTAAAAAAAACACATAATATATTCATATAGAGACACATATATTTAATAATAATAAATACGTGCAATCAAAAGACACTTGTATGCATTGAAAACAATAGAAATGCAAATAGAAAAATGCAATTATAAATTATTTTTAACCTGAGAAACTATGAGAATAGGATCCCACGCTGTTGTTCGAAAAGGTTGAGTTCTACGCATTTAAATTATATATATATATATATATTTTTTTTTTGTTTAACGTATAATCGTATGTGAACGATGTATGCGAAGTCTATGTTGTAATTAGTATTTTTTTTTTTTTGAATATTGAGGAGGAGGAGTTAAGTCAATCAACTGGCAAAATCAGGTTTTCTTTGTGTGTTACGTTCGTGCGTTAACTACACATATCAGATATATATTATTTATTGCCCCGACATATTACTTTTTTTCTGTAGTTGTTGTTTTGGTTTTATTTATTTTTTTTTAATTGCTAAGTTAGAAGACCAGTTTTCCTTTTTCTATCTTTTGTTATTTTAAAAAGGGATGAATAGTAATTCTCTCATTTTTTTTTGTTTACAATCTAAGTAAATAGGTAACAAATAAACGGCTAATTTTTTATTTCTTAAACGGCGAAATGATGATCGGGCATAATTTTTTATCCTTTTTTTGTTACTATGATATTCTTTAAATTATTTTAATTATTTACAATAAAGAACAGTTGATACTAATTTGTTTTACCCAAAAGAATTGTAGTTAAGGCGGCAGTATAATTAATTATCTAGTCAAATAGGTCTTTGATTTCTTAAGATAGTTCTTCTTGGTATTACAATGTAACTTATTTTGTATTATCGTCGATCGTTGCTACATATGTATAATACTTTTTTAATAATAATAATTTTCATTATTCACTTTTGAAGTTTGTTATGAAAATTAGAATATTATATTATTTCGCGAGAAAAATTAAAATACTATAATTGGCTTTGAACAATCTATAAAACTATAAAGTGCTAAAAAAAAAGCTGATAAAATGCCGGAACTATAAAAAACGTATTCTAAATTAAGATGCTTTCATAATATAGTGGTGGTGAATTTTTATAGTTATAATAAACTGTCTATTCTAATAAATTTTTTTATAATTTTAATCTTTTACATATTGACATGTTAAATAATTCTTTATCTGTTATATTATTAATTATGTTAGCTATTCTTTCATCATCTTCTTCAGATATAAATATAAGAAACTTAAGTGGTCTAAATAAATTTACTTGATATATAATACTTTCAATTGTCTTATGAATAGGTTAGATTCCCTTCATTAATTATAACCTGTTTAATTACAATATTGTGATCATTAATTATAAATGATGATAAATATTATTCTTGACTTTTTGTCATTAAAAAAAAGAATTATCATTACTTAAAATTCTTCTTCTTAGTTTCAATTCAAATACAAGAGATATTACTTGGTCCAATAAAAATATTAAATACCTAATATTTTATAAATAATAATTTGATTATAATTATTACACAATGACAAATTGAATTTTAAAATAAAATCTCCAAGAGTTATTGAATATTTTTATGTCTTATTTCTAAGTTTATTGATTTCAAATACAAGCCTAGAATTTAGTTCTTTCAATGTATAGTGCAGGACACTTAGAAATATCAATAAAACTAGTCACCTTTAAATAGTAAAGGATTAGTATACAAATCGAGTACAAGAAAAAAAAGGCCACTATTTTGTAGTAAATTGATGTGGTTACAAAATACCATCCTTCTTTTTAAAAAATAGTGACTCGTTTTTGATTAGTAGTTGTTTAAAAATATACTATTTTAATATAATTGATTGCCTGTGGGATACATATTTATAATAACGTGACTCTAATCGACCAATAAAATTTTGGATTTCAATTATGTTAACAAATATGATTGAACCACATTTCTAAAACCAAGCTTTAAATCTAAAATCATGCTCAGAAAAAGAAAAAACACCAGGTTTCTTCGGGTTTATAATGATAAAAGGAGACAGATAGTTCAGAAAAACAATAAAAAAGAAGTAGGGAATATTCAGGAAGAACAAATTTCAAAAGACAGTGATTTGATAGGCAAGAGGAAGAAAATGAAGAAAGCAAAGTTAACAAGAAGGAGGAGACACATACATGTTTACTTACTATGGCTCTCATATAGAAAGAACCAGAAAAAAAATACAAGAACAATAAAAGGTATATCAAAGATAACCTATTATCGTAAGTTTGGTGCCTCTGGTATATTTACTAATGCTATAAAGAAAATTCATAAAATTATCAATTTTTTTAAATCTACTGTTTGATTTTCAAATAATTTAACAATTGAGTCTTCAAATATATACTTGGTATCTTTGGTACCTTCAATATATTTAACATTATTAGAATTTTCAACAGAATTAGACAAGGATGAAACAACGCCTGTTATACTTTATAAAGTAATTGCTCAACTTTGGAAAAACTTTCTAAAGAATGAACAGGTATATATACAGGTCAAAATTCAAATATCAGATATTTATCAGGTATCCAATAGGTACCTAATATATTTATAATATTGGATACTTATCAAATACCTATTAGGAAAGAATAAACATATCGGGTACTTGATACAATTGATTATTACTAAGTACCTGATAATTAATTTTGTAAATTTTATTATGTATCCGATATAATAGTGATAGGTGTGAGATAATTTTTATTATTATCTCAGGTTCTTGATATTGTCTTGAATATCAGGTACATGATATTAAATAGTAATATCAGATATATGATATTCTAATTATTTTATTTGAGTACACAATATTATTATATGCTCATTGTATTAGATAATCTCTTTATTATTATTAAATAAAATAAATTAAACATTAAATCTTCTATTCAATAAAATTATTAAAACATAATTTTTCTTATTCTTATTTTCTATCTGATAATCTATTTTAATGGTTCAACTATATATTCTATGTGCTACAATAATCAAATATATACCTTCTTTATAGTATTCTTCTCTCCACAACTCTGTATTTGATACTTCAGGTATCATAAATTTATGCTTAAATCAAATACTAGAGAAAGATATATTTTTGTACCATTTGATGTAAGCTAAAAGATATGCTCTTGATCTATTCAGAAAGATAAGTATATATTCAAAGTAATATTATACCTTTCCAAGATAAATATTACTTGTTCTATTTCTAAAAACCTTCCATTTTACTAAGATTATTACATTATTTTCATATCGACCTATGATTTTGAACTTAAATATTTTATTTTCTATTATTAACTTTATATATTAGTTCATAATCATTTTTATACATACCTTCACATCTTTCTTTTTTAAATTATATAATGTTATATACCATCTAAATAATCTTTTTTGGATTTCTACTAGAATACTTACCTTTTTATATGCAGATACTAGTATACGTTATCACCAGTGGCTCCTGATTTTTTCAAGAACCACCTGATAGAGTAACTTGACGGTTCTTTTAAGGAGTTTATAGTCCTTTCCCGAAGGTAAGACTGTTGTATCATCATTTTAGAAGGTACCACTGATTCAATTATTTTAGAAAGGGAATCAGACCTTTCATTAAATTTATTCCAATATCTTTTCAAGTTTGTCATCATCTTTAATATTTATTCATTAATCATCTTTTGAATTTCTTCAACTTCAAATATTATCTTCAAATATCCAGGTTAATTATTATCTCGAGTTCAGAATTTATTTTAATAGTTTATAATTAATTTCATTAACTCAGGAATAATAACATTATACAATTATACAATCAAGTA